AAACCCCGTCTCTACTAAGAAATACAAAAAACTAGCCGGGCGAGGTGGTGGGCGCCTGTAGTCCCGGCTACTCGGGAGGCTGAGGCAGGAGAATGGCGTAAAAACCCGGGAAGCGGAGCTTGCAGTGAGCTGAGATCCGGCCACTGCACTCCACCCTGGGCGACACAGCGAGACTCCGTCTCAAAAAAAAAAAAAAAAAATCTATGTATTGAACGATCTCAAGATCACAATCCACATGGAAGCTAAGTACACATAGGTGGCTCTTTCCACCGTTCCCTAGGGAAGCAAAACATGTAACTATCTTTTCACATAAAATAAACCACAGCCCCCGAATCTTAGATTTCTTCCTAGAAATTATAGTCAGGTACTCGGATTTATATTCCTATTACGAGAAACCTTTCTCATGGGATAGTCCTCAAAACAGGTGATATACGGGGATTGAGTATCACCAGCTCATAAATTAGGCTGCAAAAAAAACCAACTTCTGGCCAGGCACGGTGGCTCACGCCTGTAATCCCAGCACTTTGGAAGGCTGAGGCGGGCAGATCACTTGAGGTCAGGAGTTCAAGACCAGCCTAGCCAACATCGTAAAACCCCATCTCTACTAAAAATACAAAAATTAGCCGGGCGTGGTGGCTGGCGCCTGTAATACCAGCTACCTGAGAGGCAAGGCAGGAGAATCACTTGAACCTCGAAGGTGGAGATGGCAGTGAGCCGAGATCACACTACTATACTCTAGCCTGGGCAACAGAGTAAGACTACATCTCAAAACAAAAACAAAACCAAAAAGACCACAAATCCCAACAACAACAACAAAACCAACATCTTCGATAGGCAGAGACAACTTACAATCTCTAAATGAACTAATTACCAGTACCTAAAAGCTTTCAACTCAGGGTTTTCCGACTGCATCCATCTCAGATTTCCAGGACAAGTGGGGAAAAATACATAACCACATAGAATAGATGCCCAGCAAATAACTGCTCTTATATTTTATTATAATGTGTGGAAGTGCTGCAAGATGGCCGAGTGTGGGCCGGGCGCGGTGGCTCAAGCCTGTAATCCCAGCACTTTGGGAGGCCGAGACGGGCGGATCACGAGGTCAGGAGATCGAGACCATCCTGGCTAACACGGTGTGAAACCCCGTCTCTACTGAAAAAAAAAAATACAAAAAACTAGCCGGGCGAGTGTGGCGGGAGCCTGTAGTCCAGCCACTCGGAGGCTGAGGCAGACGAGAATGCCGGGAACCGCGGGAGGCGGAGCCTGCAGTGAGCGAGGGCCACTGCACTCCAGCCTGGGCGACAGAGCGAGACTCCGTCCTCCAAAAAAAAAAAAAAAAAAAGTACTGGCCGAGTTGTAGTGGCTCATGCCTGTAATCCCAGCACTTTGGGAGGCCAAGGCAGACAGATCACCTGAGGTCAGGAGTTACCAGCCTGGACAACATGGTGAAACCCTGTCTCTACTAAAAATACAAAAATTAGCCAGGTGTGGTGGTGGGTGCCTGTAATCCCATCTAGTAGGGAGGCTGAAACAGGAGAATTGCTTGAACCCCGGAGGCAGAGGTTGCGGTGAGTCGAGATCACGCCACTGCACTCCCATCTGGGGAGCGAGACTCCAGCTCAAAAAAAAAAAAAAAAAAGGAAGTGCTGCAAGTTAACTACCACACACTATGCAAACATCTTTAAAAGAATATATATATTTTTTTGAGACGGAGTGTTGCTGTGTCACCCAGGCTGGAGTACAATGGCTCAATCTTGGCTCACTGCAACCGCTGTCTCACAGGTTAAAACAATTCTCCTGCCTCAGCCTCCCAAGTAGCTGGGCCTACAGGCACACCCCACCACACCTGGCTAATTTTTGTATTTTTAGTAGAGACGGAATCTCACCATATTGGCCAGGCTGGTCTGGAACTGCTGACCTCAGGTGATCCACCCGCCTCAGCCTCCCAAAGTGCTAGGATTACGGGCATGAGCCACTGTGCCCGGCCTAAAGAAATTTTTTTTTTTTTGAGACTGAGAGTGCAATGGTGTGATCTTGGCTCACTGCAGCCTCCACCTACCGGGTTAAAGCAATTCTCCTGCCTCTGCCTCCCAAGTAGCCAGACTACAGGCATGCGCCACCATGCCCAGTTAATTTTGTATTTTTAGTAGAGACTGAGTTTTATCATGTTGGTCAGGCTGGTCTCGAACTCCTGACCTCATATGATCCACCTGCCTCGGCCTCCTAAAGTGCTGGGATTACAAGTGTGAGCCACCATGCCTGGCTAAGAAAATTTTTTTAAGTATTCAGTGTAACTTGGAATTCTAAAGAAAAAAGGGAAGTGCTGCAAGTTAACTATCACACACTATGCAAACATCTTTAAAAGAATATTTTTTTTTGGCTCAAATAAATAGCATTCTAAAAGGAAGTTCAAATTCTGATACTGACTACTAGATTACCTTAAAATTTCAGGATCTGAAAGCAACAGTGTCTCCTAATTTTGCATTATATTTGAATAGTTATTCTGGTGATAAATAAATAGAGTTTAAAAGTCTATAAAAAGGGTCAGGTCACTGATAAGAAGCTGAAGTTCAATAAACCAAGCCACTAAAACCATCTGTTTCGGCTGGGCACGGTGGCTCATTCCTGTAATCCCAGCACTTTGGGAGGCTGAGGCGGGTGGATCACGAGGTCAGGAGATTGAGACCATCCTGGCTAACATGGTGAAACTCTGTCTCTACTAAAAATACAAAAAAATTAGCCAGGCGTGATGGCGGGCGCCTGTAGTCCCAGCTACTTGGGAGGCTGAGGCAGGAGAACTGCCTGAACCCGGGAGGCAGAGCTTGCAGTGAGCCGAGATCGTGCCACTGCACTCCAGCCCAGGCAACAGAGCAAGACTCCATCTCAAAAAAAAAAAAAATCTGTTTCATGAATGGTAAAGATCCTAGTTGAGGCCAGGTACAGTGGCTCACGCCTGTAATCCCAGCATTTTGGGAGGCCGAGGCAGGAGGATCACTTGAACTCAGGAGTTTGAGACCAACCTGGACAACATAGCAAAACCCCATCTCTACTACAAATCAAAAAATTAGCCAGGTATGGTGGTGCATGCCTATAGTCCCAGCTGCTCAGGAGGCTGAGGCAGGAGGATTGCTTGAGCCAGGAGATTGAGGTTGCCATGAGCTGTGATCCTGCACTCTAGCCTGGGTGACAGAGCAAGACCCTGTCTCACAATGAAAAAAAAAAAAGACCTCAGAATCCAACATAAAAAGGCTCCATGGACGCAGGAGCTGTCTGGTTCACCATTCTAGCTCTAGCGTGTGCCCGGCACATAGGTATTTAATACAGTTTTGTTGAATGAATGAGTATAGCTGAATAAATAAGCTATGCAGGAATGCAGTTTCCAAATATCAAAAGTTCAAGGAGAGATCCATTTTCAGTAAAGATTTTAACATGTAATATTACCTTTCCCACAGATTTTTTAAAAATGTTCTCTGTTGTGCCTTAACTATCACTATAATTATCTGTTTCTCAAAAACAAAATGTCTAAATAGAAGATAAATAGTCCCTGATCCAGATGAACTCCACAGAAGAATATTTAAAAAAGAGAAAACTGCCAGGCATGGTGGCTCAAACCTGTAAACCCCGCACCTTAGGAGCCCGAGGCGGGTGGATCATCTGAGGTCAGGTGTTCAAGACCAACCTGGTCAACGTGGTGAAACCCCGTCTCTACTAAAAATACAAAAATTAGCCGGGCGTGGTGGTGCATGCCTGTAATCCCAGCTACTTGGGAGGCTGACGCAGGAGATCACCTGAACCTGGGAAGTGGAAGCTGCAGTGAGCTGAGATTGCACCACTGCACTCTAGCTTGGTGACAGAGTGAGACTCCATCCCCCACCTCCCCCAAAAAAGGAGAAAACTGAGATGAAAAGCTATCACACATAGCCTACCTACCAGCAAAAATCGGATATGCACATTTGATAACAGCGCTTTCCAAAACTGTTTCCTCTGGTTTCAATTTCAGCTAGGTAAGCATTTTTTTAGTCTACTGACTTTAAAGTTTTCCCTTTTATGTAGCCAAGAACTTATCTTTCCGTTGTCCTCTCTTGGTCCTCTCAAATTTTCTCACAACTCACCTGTGTGGCTTTTCACCAGAATTCCTTTTGTCTGGAAAATCCTCCTTCCTCCAAACCTAACCTGAAAGCATCCTCCCCCTAAATACTAGCCTTTCTGATTTTATAGAAGCTTCATTTCCTTGCAGCAGACGGCTGGTCTAGTTCTTAATGCTAAATTCATTTTGCTCCATAAAAATGATGCATCATGGCCGGTCGCGGTGGCTCAAGCCTGTAATCCCAGCACTTTGGGAGGCTGAGACGGGCGGATCACGAGGTCAGGAGATCGAGACCATCCTGGCTAACACGGTGAAACCCCGTCTCTACTAAAAAAATACAAAAAACTAGCCGGGCCTATAGTCCCAGCTACTCGGGAGGCTGAGGCAGGAGAATGGCGTGAACCCGGGAGGCGGAGCTTGCAGTGAGCTGAGATCCGGCCACTGCACTCCAGCCTGAGCGACAGAGCGAGACCCTGTCTCAAAAAAAAAAAAAAAAAAAAAAGCATCAGCAAAGCACAGAATCGCCTACCAACACACGTCCTTTCTGCCAGTAGCTCATCCAAATATGCCTTTCTGGTGGTGACCTTGTGTTCCCTTCATCCTTCTGGTGACTCAGTTTTCCAAACCACAGAATTTTTCCCTACCAAGTTCATAAATCCTAAATCATTTTCAGTTATAGGTTGTTCCCCAGCTGGGTGCAGTGGCTCACGCCTATAATCCCAGCACTTTGGGAGGCCAAGGTGGGAGGATCACTTGAGGCCAGGAGTTCAAGATCAGCCTGGGCAACACAGCAAGAACCCCATCGGTATTAAAAAATATATATATATGTGTATATATATACACATACACATATATATGTTTCCTAAGGTTAAACTTGATAAATGAAAGGAACTATGGACAGAAATGAGCTTACTTGCAATAATGCCTTCTAATGTGTTCAACCCTTTCCACAAATGTTGTCAGGGAGTGAAGAGATGGAGGGAGGAAGAATACGCTTCACAAATACTTCATCAGGATGATTTCATTTGATCTTTCTAACAACCTTGGGAGACAGGCAGGGCAGGCACTTATTACTCCCATTTACAGATGACAAAACTAAACTTCAAAAAGGTTTAAGCGACTTGCCCAGCCTATATCACATGACTAGCAAATATCAACCCAGACCTGTATTAAGGTCTTGCCTCTTCCAACCCCAAGTCTGACTCTATCTCCGTATGTTTCTGTCTACATACAAGGAGTAACCTCCTAGAGATTCAGCATTTCAAAGGGAGAGTAGAGCTCTGACTTCTGGAACACCATCTCCCTTCAGCTACCAAGCTGGAAAGTCATCTTCAGTCTTCCCAAGAAAAAACAGTGCCTTTCTCTTCTATATGCCACTCTTAACAACTACTTTCCAAAATAATTTCCAACAGTTCCTGTTTTAAAAAAGACTTACTCATAAGACACTAATAGTTCAAAAAGTTTGCATCAGCATATGATTTTCTCAATAAAGTTCAGGGCTGATGCAACATTTCTCAGTCAAACTTTACAGCTAAAATGACAAGAACACAGAACAGTCAAAAAATTATGCAAGAGAATGCTACAGTTTTTCACTCTACCACATCTGCCTCGATGGGTCTCCTGTGAGTCATGGTCTTTTGTGTTCAGTCATCACTATAAGAACTGCCATTTTCTACCCTAAATTATTTTATTTTTTAAAGAAAAGATCTGCAGGGCCAGGTGTGGTGGCTCACGTCTATATACCAGCACTTTGTGGGGTTGAGGCAGGAGAATGGCCTGAGCCCAGGCGTTCCAGACCAGCTTGGACAACATGGTGAGACGCTGTCTCTACACACACACACACACACACACACACACACACACACACACACAGAAAAGAGCTACAATAAAAACAGAATCCTATTACATCTTTCGCCACCTAGCTAAAGCACTGATCTCTAAGTTATTTTTTCAATGTTCACAATTACCTTTTTACATAAACAGAAAAAGAGGCATAGTAAGGTTGAAGTTGGATTATTTAGTCATTTGATAAACACATTTGAAATCCTATCAAAAACCAGGAAATGAGACCCCAAAGTGAGGGAGAAATGCCCCTCCTCTTGTAGCCTGGTGAAGACAAAAAGGAAAGACGTAATTATAGGACAAACTAATCAAGATTAAGGTGTGGGTAGGCACATGGGCTGGGGCTGTAGAAATCACAGAATGCTTGTATTTATAAACATCTATCTCTTTACTTTCAATACAAAATAAACCTAAAAGACTCGACTCTATTCCCTGAAAGGTTATAAGACTTACTTGCCAATAGTCAAATCAAAAATCAAATTTAATAGCTGAATTACTCTTGACTCCTCATCCTAAATTTCAACCCTTAAGCCATACTCCCTTTAGGCACAAATGATAGCAAGTTTAACAAATTCTGCCTTATATGTGCCTTCTCACATGTCTACAGAATAGGATTAAAGATACGCAGAGTGAAACAAATAGTACTTTTTAAAAAGATAATAATTTTCTTAACTGGAAGTGAATGCTTTGAACAATTCAAGCCCTACAAAGCATGGCTGTCAGAAGAGGAAACTGAGGTTCCAAAAAGTCTCACTTTAATACAACAGAATGAAAGGTCTCTTTGAAGTCATCAGAAGAGCTCGAAGGAAAAGAGAAACAGAAGCCTATTGTGAGCTTTAGCCTCCACATGATGACCCCCCAAGCACACTGCAATGGTAAACAAACAAGCCTCTGAGTCTGAATCTGATTCGGTGGCCTGACAAAACATCACAATTGAAGGAATCTCTCTCCTCATTCATTACTTTTCCAAAAAAGTCCCACTAGCTGGAGCTCCAGGTTTCTTGCTGGTTCCTGGATTTATTGCTTGGAAATTATAATGCATAGTGTGCCTTTCAAAAAAAAAGGTACAAGCAAATGAAAACAACCACGGTTTTAAAGCCCCATAAAAGACAGTGTATGTAGCAGAAATGAACTCTGCCAGTGTTTACTATGAGGACCTATTACTCCTTCATGTTACTCGAGTGGATTTTAAACTCAAATGAATGCTACCACTGCCCACTAAACAGCAAGTTAGAGAAGCACATTCATACACCTGCTTAACAGCCCCGCTGACTTCCCCACCACTTCCCGGGGCCAGGGCCAAGTGGCTGACCTGGAAACGCGGCTGTAGACCCCAGCCACTTGCACTCTGCTGTCCCAACAAGTAGGCTCTGAAGTCACACTTCATTTGGCCCGGCACACCCTCATCCCCATCACCCAGACCCTCAGCTGCAGGGAGGAAATTCCACGGCCTCAAAAAGGAAAAGGCTGGAAGCGGGCAGAAGTGGATGGTCCCGAGCGGTCTCGTTCCTGCTTCCCTGGTCCAAGGTGAGCCCGAGGCTCCCGCACCCCCAACTCGGAGTCGCTTTCCTGGTCGCCGCCAAGCTCCTTCCACCCCGCGGCGCCGGGGGCCGCGGTCCCCATCCTCCGCCCCTCCGGGCCTCAGCGTTCGCCTGGGCCCCGGGGGCCCTGACCCAGACCCAGCGGCGCGCCACAGCCTTCTCGGCCAGGGCCGCCCACCCCGTAGCCTGGTCCCCGTCAGACGACCCTGCTCGGCCCGCGCCAGGCAGCCCGCAGCCCCCTCGCGGCCCGGGGCCGCCCCCCGCCGCCCGCCCGCCCACTGGGCCGCGCACCGTGTGGGACTGCAGGCTCTGGCTCGCCTCGATGGCTGCTGTCAGCGGCACCGTGTCGTCCAGCAGCACCTTGCCGGCTGGCGGCTTCTCCATGAAGGCCATCCCGGGACGCCCGGCCGCCGCCGCCTAGGTACGCGAGGCAGGAACCTGAGGCGCCGACTCCCGCCGCCCGCCCGGCTCCACCGTTCCGCTGTCAACACGCGCCGCCCCACGCGCCGCCGGGCCCGCGGGGTCCTAGCGCCACCCTCCCCGCTGCCGCCGCCCCGGAGTCCTAGCGCCGACCTAGCGGAGTACGTGTGGGGGCCGCCAGCACTGTCCCCGTTGGCCCGCCCCTCCGCCCTGTGGCTGCCATGGGCTCGCGCTTCCCAGCTCCTCGCAGCCGCACCGCAGACCCCGTGCCCTTAGCTCCGGGCTTCGGACCAGTGAACACCACCCTAAGCCATCACCACCAGTATCCTCAGATCCAGGGACACCTGGTCCTGAGCCCTGGGATCCAGGAATCTTCAGGGCGAGATTTCCAAACCAGGCCTTTCAGAACTGGGCTTTTCTGGGACCGTACGTCGTGAAACCCTCAGAACTGGACCTCTCTCACCCCGCCAGGCCCAACGACCCTAAAACTCAGAAAAAGGGCCTTCAGGATGGGACCCCCAGTCTGAGCCCTGCAAACCCAGAGACTTTCTGAAACAAGCCCTTCCGATTGAGACTTCATAGGGACTCTTGAACAAGGCTCCTCAGGCCTGAACACCTAAGAGCTGGACCCCATAATTGGAGGTCTTGGACCTCAGAACCCTCAGACCCAAGCTCTAAGAACTGGAGACCCTATAAAATGGTCCAGAGACCCCCTAGCCTCTACTCTTGGCCCCTACTGCCTGCTCAACCACATCCCTTAGACTTGGGAGTTCTTCATCCCACCATATGGGCTAGAAGAAATTTAAACCAAGAGTCAAGTCAGAGAATCTTGGGATCCACTTCTCAGCCCTAAATCTGCCCACAGTCTGCCTGAACCCGAAGCCATAATCCTGGCACCACCTCATCCCCCCATCTCCATACACACCTAGAAATTTCACCCACACTGGCCTTTCCTAGGGCAGCACTCCAGGATAGTGAAGAGTTAAATTTAGAATCAGAGGACTATCATCTCCATGGCTCTGGCATTTACCAGCTGTGTGATCTTTAATAAGTTACCCAACCTCTCTGAGTTCCAACTCCCCAATTTGCAAAGTGGAGATAATATTATTTGTATGAAAAGGTTAATACAAGGAATGCAGTAGACCGGGAAGGGGCTTGGCACATAATAAAAACTCAAACGGTGGTCAGGCATGATTGCTCACGCTTGCAATCCCAGCACTTTGGGAGGCCAAGGCGGGTGTATCACCTGAGGTCAGGAGTTTGAGACCAACCTAGCCAACATGGCAAAACCCCCTCTACTAAAAATATAAAAATTAGCTGGGTGTGGCGGCACATGCCTGTAGACCCAGCTACTCTGGAGGCTGAGGCAGAAGAATTGCTTGAACGCAGGAGGGGGAGGATGCAGTGAGCCAAGATCGTACCACTTCACTCCAGCCTGGGTGACAGAGTGAGACTCCATCTCAGAAAACAAACAGACTGGGCGCGGTGGCTCACCACTGTAATCCCAGCACTTTGGAAGGCTGAGGCAGGCGGATCACGAGGTCAGGAGATCGAGACCATCCCGGCTAACAAGGTGAAACCCCGTCTCTACTAAAAATAGAAAAAAAAATTAGCTGGGTGTGGTGGCGGGCGCCTGTAGTCCCAGCTACTCGGGAAACTGAGGCAGGAGACTGGCATGAACCCAGGAGGTGGAGCTTGCAGTGAGCCGAGATCACGCCACTGCACTCCAGCCTGGGGACAGAGCGAGACTGTGTCTCAAAAAAAAAAAAAGACAACAACAACAAAAAACAAACCAAAAAACAAAAACCAAACAGACAAACAAAAACACCTCAAACCGTGGTCAGGCGTGATGGCTCACCTTTGTAATTCCAGCACTTTGGGAGGCTGAGGAGAGTGGATGACTTGAGCCCAGGAGTTTAGCCTGGGCAATATGGTGAGACCCTGTCTCTACAAAAAAATTTAAAAAATAGCTGGGCATGATGGCTCACACCTGTGGTCCCAACTACTCAGGAGGCTGAGGTGGGAGAATTTTTTGAGCACAGGAGGTTGAAGCCTCAGTGAGCCATGATCATGCCACTTCACTCCAGCCTGGGCAACAGAGCAAGACCGTCTCCAGAAAAACAAACAAAACAAAGTCAGTATTAGTTTCCTCCTTCCCCTACAGCTCACAGAATGGAAGATTCCTAACTCTTAAATTGCCTCCACTAAATTTCTACATTTTAGATAAGGGAACAAAATTTCTGGGTAATTGCACCACCACCACCAAAATTTGACATCCCAGGAAAGGCCCACATCATGTGTAAAGGGTCCCTTCTCCAGATCTCAAGCTTAATGGGTTGGGCAGCCCCATGGAGTCAAGTGGCCATGACAGATTGGTCCCATGGGCCAAGATCCAATAGAGCAAGATGTGAAGAAGGAATCATGGAACTTCATGATTCAGCCCTAAAATAATCAGAACTCTCCCTGCATTCCATTTTTGTGCCAGTGTGTTTAAAAGCAGCAGTCTATTAAAGCAAATCCATATGTCATTTAGGGAGGATTCAACTTTTTACTTTCATTTCTTTGTTTTAAGGCAAATAGATTATTTCCCTGCTAGAGTCACAGAAACCAAAATTCAGCTATAATCATTACTCCTATCGTGATGTGGATTGACCAAGAGAAGGCTCTTTTCTCTTACTGCAGGTGGGAGTATAAATTGGCCCAACCTTTTCGGAGGGCATTCATACATTCATTCAACAATTATTTGCTAAGTACCTACTATGTAATAGGCCTAGTACTAGGAGCTGGAACAAATACGTATTAAGGGCTTTGAAAATGTTCTTATCCTATGACCAAGTAATTCTGCATCTAGGAGAGTATCCTAAGAAAATAATCAAAGATCAGTTAAAAAAAAAAATAGCATGCAAGGATAAATGACTAACAGTTGGGTTTTGGACGAATCTTGGTACAATCATGAATTTTTTGCAATGTTAAAAATCAAGCCAGGCTAAGTGGTGCATGCGGGTACTCCCAGGCACTCAGGAGGCTGAGGTGGGAGGATCACTTGAACCCGGAAGGTGGAGGCTGCAATGAGCCGAGATTGCGTCACTGCGTTCCAGCCTGGGCAACAGAGTGAAACCCTGTCTCAATAAATAAATAAATAAACAAACAAACAAAAAGTCACATGATTAAATAATATTTTATGATCTTGAGAAATGCTCTTGATATAATAGTAAATGAAAAAGCAATTTAGCATCTGTATAATCTCAATATATCTATAGGACAAACACCAGAAGGAAATATATCAAAATATGGGCTGAGTGCAGAGGTTCACACCTGTAATCCCAGCACTTTGAAAGGCCAAGGCAGGCAGATCACTTGAGGTCAGAAGTCTGAGACCAGCCTGGACAACATGGTGAAACCCCGTCTCTACTTTTAGAGAAAAATTAGCCAGAACATGGTGGCACACACCTGTAATCCCAGCTACTCGGGAAGTTGAGGCAGGAGAATCATTTAAACCCAAGAGGTGGAGTTTGCAGTAAGCCGATATCGTACCACTGCACTCCAGTCTCGGTGACAGAGAAAGACTCCGTCTCAAAAATAAATAAATAAATAAATATGAACAGTGGGCCTCTAAGAAGCAGAATCATGATGATTTCTTCTGTATGGTTTTCTGTATTTAACTTGTATGATTAGGGGGAAAAATGTTAGACAACTGGAGTCCAGTGCTCTGACAACTGCTTCCATAAGATAAAGTCACGATGGTAACAGGAAGAAGGCTTCTCTGGGGTTTAGCTCCATTTTCTCTGTAGTCTGTCCAGACACACAGTCCAAATGCTTTTGTAAGAGAAACCAACTTGTCCATAGTTCATACCTTACAAGAAATTTCACATGCTCTGAAAAATGCATTTTGCATACTTTTACAAATTAGATTTTTTTCTTTAAGATTATGTGATTGGCGGATGACAATCTTCACGCGTATGTTTTTGATAAATGATCACAGTAGTGATTTTTTTTCTTTCAAAGTCAGTAAGTGGTACATGAAGACTTTCGATATTGCAGGTCCTGTAGAGGACAAAATGGAAAAGAAGCAGACTCTTTTTCATCCAATAATTTTTAAGGAGGATAGGAAAGTTTGTCACAGAAACAGTGACTCCAAGACAGCCTGTATTGAGTCCTGAAATTGAGGCACTGGGTACCATGAGAAGATAAGAAAGAAAAGAGTCATGACACTAGACTGGGTTATGGGGCAACTGAGGAAGAACTGAGGTTTGAGAGGGGCCTTTAAGGATGGGTGAGATTTGGATAGCAGGATATGCAGAAAGAACATTTCACTCAATCTTTTTTTTTCCAAAACGGAGTCTTGCTCTGTTGCCCAGGCTAGAGTGCAGTGGCACGATCTCAGCTCACTGCAACCTCCACATCCCGGATTCAGGCAATTCCCCTGCCTCAGCCTCCCGAGTAGGAGTAGCTGGGATTACAGGTGCCTGCCACCACACCTGGCTAATTTTTGTATTTTTAGTAGAGACAGGGTTTCCCCATGTTGGTCAGGCTGGTCTCGAACTCCTGACCTCATGATTTGCCTGTCTCGGCCTCCCAAAGTGCTGGGATTATAGGCATGAGCCACTGCACCCGGCCCATTTCACTCAATCTTTTGGCAAACCCCTTGCAGAACACTAGATACCAGACACTATGTCAGGCACAGGGGAGTTAAAACAAACAGGACAGATGTCATCTGCTATCAAGCTGCTTACCTACATGAACGCGAAAAACAATGAGTCTGAGCTCAGTGGCTCACCCCTGTAATCCCAGCACTTTGGGAGGCTGAGGCAGGCGGATGGCTTGAGGCCAGGAGTTCAAGACCAGCCTGGGCAACATAGCAAGACCCTATCTCTACAAAAAATAAAGGCCAGGCGTGGTGGCTGAAGCCTGTAATACCAGCACTTTGGGAGGCTGAGATGGGTGGATCACTTAAGGTCAGGAATTCAAGACCAGCCTGGCCAACATGGCAAAACCACTAAAAGTACAAAAATTGGCCAGGTATGGTGATGCACCCGTGTTATCCCAGCTACTCGGGAGGCTGAGGCAGGAGAATCGCTTGAACTCGGGAGGTGGAGGTTGTAGTGAGCCAAGATTGTGCCATTGCACTCCAGCCTGGGCGACAGAGCAAGACTCTGGCTCAAAAAAAAAAAAAAAAAAAAAAAAAAAAAAGAAAGAAAGAAAGAAAGAAAAAGAAAAAGAAAAAGAAAAAATTAGCCGGGCATGATGGTGTATGCCTGTAGTCCCAGCTATTCAAGAGGCTGAGGTGGAAGGATAGCTTGAGCCTAGGAAGGTTGAAGCTGCAGTGAGCCGTGATGGTACAACTGTACTCCAGCCTGGGCAACAGAGTGAGAACCTGTACCCACCACTCCCCACCCCTGCTAAAAGAAAGAAAGAAAGAAAAGAAAACAACGTGGATGTGCAGTGACAGGCTAGTTCAGGGGTTTATGGAAGTCTTGGGCACTGCAAAGCCATGTAGGCTGCAGGACTGGAGAGTAGAATGTGTGAAGGGCTGGGGAGGAGATGGCTCAACAGGAAAGGTGCGGAAAGGAACCCTTCCGCACCCTTCTATTCCCAGCTCTGTTACACCAGCAACTGACAGTTAAGGACGTTTGCAAGGGAACAGATACTTCCCTCGGAGGAGCCCCTCTGAGATCACAGTGACCACTGACAAACACATCTGGCCTGGGCTCCGCTGCTTCAAGGATAGGAACATGAATAACATGCAGATAAAAGTAATCAGGGGGTCGGGAGCAGTGGCTCAAGCCTATAATCCCAGCACTTTAGGAGGTCGAGGAGGCAGATCACTTGAGGTCGGGAGTTCGAGACCAGCCTGACCTACATGGAGAAACCCTGTCTCTACTAAAATTACAAAATTAGCAAGGCATAGTGGCGCATGCCTATAACCCCAGCTACTCGGGAGGCTAAGGCAGAAGAATTGCTTGAAACCGGGAGGCAGAGGTTGTGTGAGCCGAGATCACACTACTGCACTCCAGTATGGGTAACAAGAGCGAAACTCCGTTTCAAAAAAAAAAAAAAAGGCCTGGTGTGGTGGCTCATGCCTGTAATCCCAGGACTTTGGGAGGCCAAGGCAAGCAGATCACAAGGAGTTCGAGACCAGCCTGCTGGCCAATATGGTGAAACCCCATCTCTACTAAAAATACAAAAATTAGCCAGGCGTGGTGGCATGTGCCTATAATCCCAGCTACTTGGGAGGCTGAGGCAGAAGAACCGCTTGAACCCGGGAGGCGGAGGTTGCAGTGAGCCGAGACCGTGCCACTGCACTCCACCCTGGGTGACAGAGCAAGACTCTATCTCAAAAATAAATAAATAAATAAATAATTAAAAAAGTAGTGAATGAGTGATGAGAATGAGAAGAGGGAGATAAGTGGGGAAGTCGGGAGGGAGAGGGGAAGGTAGGCAGATAGGTAAGGAGAGAAAAAAAGATTGTGACATTCAAAAACTAGGCAAAAAGCTGCCCTCATAAGCCTGAGGAAGAAGCTGGAGTGTTGGTCATGGTTAAGGGCCTAAGCTCCCAGGCGACTTCTTGGGTTCATACCGGCTCCACAGCTCACTGGCAGCCTGACCTCTCTTTGCTTCAGCTCCTCATCTGCAGAATGAAGATAATGATAGCCTCCACCCTGTGGGATCATTGCGAGGACTGGATGAGCTCACGTAAGCAATGACCTGGAAGACAGGCTGGTAGGGAGAATGCAGGGTATTAGCTCTTATGTTATAAAGGAAATCAGGGTCGGGTGTGGGGGCTTGTCTCTTTAGGACTCCTGGGTCTCTTTGGGGACAGTTCCTGGCACAGAGTTTGTGCTCAGTAAATATTTGTCAAATAGATGTGTGAACAAAACAAAAAAAGGAGGCAGGGCATGGTGGCTCACACCTATAATCCTAGCACCTTGGGAGACTGAGACGGGAGGATGGCTTGAGGCCAGGAATTCAAGACCAGGTGGGACAACACAGTGAGATCCTGTCTCTACAAAATTTTTAAACATTTGCTAGGTGTGGTGATACATGCCTGTAGGCCTAGCTACTCAGAAGGCTGAGGTGGGAGGATCTCTTGAGCCCAGCTGAGGTGGCAGTGACCCGTGATTGTGCCACTGCCCTCCAGCCTGGTCAACCAAGCAAGACTGTCTCTAAAAAATATATAAAAATTAAAAATAAAGGAAATCAGCAGGTGAACCGTACAGGGAGAGAAAAGTTGTTCAACGGAAAGGTATTCAAATAGTTTTCTCCCTGGAAAGGAAGAGAACAGAAAAGGAATTAGAATTGAAGGTCAGAGTTGCAAAGATCATAAAATAACAGCCCTATCTAGTTTTCCTTACTAAGGAAAGGAAACTGAACGTGAGAAATCAGGTATTTGATGAAATGAAACCAGAGACAAGCTCTCAGTCTAACCTTTCCCTTTCTCTGTGAATTCTTCTGGGAAGTGAGCCCCTTAAAATAAATATTGTGGTAAGCCTCATGATTTATTTTTATCTACCCAAATCGGTGTCTTGTTAGTGATCCTCTGAGGATACTGGACTTAAACTGGATTCATGATCCATGGGGAACTGGGTTTCAAACCCCAGGAGAGCCTTAATATCCATTTGGCATTTGAAATGGCTAAGGCCTAGCTGGGCATGGTAGCTCACGCCTATAATCCCAGCACTTTGGGAGGCCAAGACAGGCAGATCGCTTGAGCCCAGGAGTTTGAGACCAGCCTAGGCAACACAGTGAGATTCTCGTCTCTACAAAAAGTCATAAAATTAGCTGGGCATGGTGGCATGTGCCTGTGATCCCAGCTACTCAGGAAGCTGAGGTAAGAGGATCACATGAGCACAGGGAGGTCGAGGCTGCAGCAAGCTGTGATCCCACCACTCCACTCCAGCCCGGGTGACAGAGCCAGACCCTGTCTCAAAAAAAAGAAAAGAAATGGCTCAGGCTGAACATAGGGAAACGCCCCCAAGGCTGGAGCTGATCTAATTTAAATCGGTTTTGTTTCTATAGTCTCAGGCTGCCTAAGGCTAATGAGGAATGAGGGAACCTCAGCTTTTGCCACACACACAACTACTCAGGGGTAGCAAAAAAAAATATATATATATATATATACACACACACACACACATACAGACACACATATATATACATGTATGTGTGTGTGTGTATATATATATATTTATATTTCCCACTGTTGCCAAATGTTTAGATGGCCCACAGGTTGTTTGTCTAACAACTTGATGTTTGCCCAGATTGACTGAAGATAATGAGTTTTAGCGAGGATGCTCCTTAGGCCTGGCAACTACTCTACAAAATCAGATCATAGAAGCTTGTGAAAAACTCAGTATTTCCTAAGTAGCATGGCCTCCCAACTCAAAATGCTTTTATTTCTTTAAATATTCATGATCTGGAACTAAAAACAACAAAACTCAACCCACAGTCATTCTTATTTCCTTTACGTGTTGATATTTTCCACCACATCACAGGGGACTGCTGCCCAGGGTTTATAAGAAGGTCATTTGAATTGCTTTATAGCTAAAAACCACCTTAGGGATTAACTGTGGGGCCGCCTATTAATCTTGTATTTATGTGGTGTTAACATTGGTTCTGGGTGCCTTACGATTTTTGAATTTTTTTTTTTTTTTGAGACGGAGTCTCACTCTGTCGCCTAGGCTGGAGTGCAGTGGCGCAATCCCGGCTCACTGCAAGCTCCGCCTCTCGGGTTCACGCCATTCTCCTGCCTCAGCCTCCTGAGTAGCTGGGACTACAGGCGCCCGCCACCTCGCCCGGCTAGTTTTTTTTTTCGTATTTTTTAGTAGAGACGGGGTTTCACCATGTTAGCCAGGATGGTCTCGATCTCCTGACCTCATGATCCACCCGCCTCGGCCTCCCAAAATGCTGGGATTACAGGTGTGAGCCACCGCGCCCAGCCCAATTTTTGAATTTAAATGGTTTCTTCTAGTTGGTGATTCTGCTCCAACTCATAATTTCTCTGAAGATGCTGAGAATTAATTTATCTGCTGTGTTTGTAACCCAAAATAAAAGCAAAGATAAGAACAAAGGAGTTGAAACATCTGGGACCCTGGAGATACCTGTGGACCAACACTAATTCAGCAGCACTCCCATTCTGCTCAGACAGAGCTAGATAATAAGCTATGCTGATACATGAGGTATTCACAGTGGCACAGTTGCTCAGAGTGACAGTCATCCCTTGGTAGAAAATGTTTTAATATAAAAACTTAATAGATGTCATGGCAATTTTCTTTGGGAATAAATTGGTCTCTGAATCATACTCTAAAAACATAAAGGAAAAATGACTAATAATTCAGCACAAAATGAAAACCTGTGGTTGCCTAAGAGGTATCAGTGTGCATTTAGCAATTTCTTCTTTTTCTAGGTGAATATGCATGTCAGGTCCACAAGACAAATGGTGGCTGTTGCCAGGCTTTCTTCCCATTGCTACTCGAGATTTGCTCCTCAGAAAAAGAAATAAGTGGCATTTCACCAATATGGAAATGTTTCTAATAGAATATAAAAATCCATTAAGCAATTTTCCAGTACATTAGGCTAAAAGTGCTTAAAACGAGTATCTCTGTGACAATTAAACATCACATAATGTGCAGTTGCATAAACCCCTATGTAGAAAGTGCTAGAACAATGTGGCCTTTTTTTTTTTTTTTTTGACGAGTCTCGCCTGTTGGCCCAGGCTGGAAGTGCAGTGGCCAGAATCTCAGCTTCCTGCAAGTTCCACTTCCCCCGCGGTTACGCCCTTCTCACTAACCCACCTCCCCGAGTAGCCTGGGACTACAGGTGCCCGCCGACCTCGCCGGCTAGTTTTTGTATTTTGTAGTAGAGACCAGGTTTTCACCGTGTTTTAGCCAGGATTGGGTCACCCCGATCTCTTGACCTCGTGATCCGCCTCTCGGCTCCCCAAAGTGTTGGGAAATTACAGCTGAACCACCGCGCCGGCCGCCTTTGCCTATTTTAGTCATTTACTTTTTGTACTCGCTTCCACATTGTGGAACCTGTACATCCAGGCCACTTCTCAATTATCTGGAGAGGAATTTCCTAGATTGAGGATCACTCCAAGCTTTCATTAAGAGTCATTCTTTGGGCGGCCGCGGTGGCTCAAGCCTGTAATCCGCACTTTGGAGGCGAGACGGCGGATCACGAGGTCAAGGGAGATCGAGACATGCCTGGCTACCGAGTGAACACCCTGTCTCTATTAAGAAAACAAAAAACCAGCGCGGTGGAGGTGGACGGCGCGGCCTGTGTCCAGCCCTCCGGGGGCTGGGCGGAGAGATATGGCGGTGAACCCCGGGAGCCGGAGCCTTGCGTGGCTTGAGATTTGGCACTTGCACTCCAGCCTGGGCGACAGAGCAGACTCCGTCCTCAACAAAAAAAAAAGTCATTCTTTTGAGCAGTTTGTATAACCTACCAGAATGAGAAAAGCCCCAAGCCCACCAGTTTCCTGAATAGCCCAGCCTTTACAAAGCAGTGTGGGTTGGAGAATCTTGACTCTAGAACGAAATGACAAGTTAGTATTTAAAGAGAAGTACTGATTAACTTCTTGCACTTCTCCTGTTCCAAACTTTATTGAGTTATAGAATTTCAAAGACCATGACTCTTAGGAGCCAATAAAATGGTGGAAATCTGTATGCAGAGGCTCATCAGCATTTTGGGAAGCCAAGGCAGGAGTATCGCTTGAGACCAGGAGCTTCGGACCACCTGGGCAACACAGTGAGACCACATTTCTACAACAAAATACATACTTTTAAGAAAGTGAACATGAAGGCCGAGCACAGTGGCTCATGCCTGTAATCCCAGCACTTTGGGAAGCAAGGTGGGAGGACTGCTTGAGCCCAGGAGTTTGAGAACTAGCCTGGGCAACAAAGTGAAAACCTCATCTCTGCAAAAGAATCAAAAAATAAGCCAGACATGGTGCTGTGTGCCTCTGTTCTCTGCTATATAGAAGGCTGAGGCAGGATTGTGTAAGCCCAGGAGTGTCTACAGTGATTGCACCACTGCAACTCAAGCTGGGAGACAGAGTGAGACTCTGTCTCAGAAAACAAACAAAAAAACCAGCGGAAATGCCTCCCATTGAGAAGCTACTTTTTTTTTTTTTTTTTTTGAGACGAGTCATGCACTGTTGGCCCAGGCTAGTGCAGCTGCGCGATCTCGGCTCACTGCAGCTCGCCTCCCGGGTTCACCGCCATTCTCCTGCCTCAGCCCTCTCGAGTACCTGGGATTATAAGCCACCTGCCACCACCGCCCGGCTAATTTTTTGTACTTTTAGTAGAGACGGGTTTCAGCCGGTGTTAGCCAGGATGATCTCGATCTCCTGACTAAGTGCTGGGATTACAGGAGTTGTGAGCAGGACGGGCTGCAGACAAAACCTCTTCAGACACCAAGTTGTAGAAGGAAGGCTTTATTCAGCTGAGAACATCAGCCTGCTACTGCCTAAAATCCAAGCTCCCTTGAGTGCACAATTTCTGTCCCTTTAAGGGCTCACAACACTAAAGATTTCACTGAAAGGTCGTGATTGATTTGAGCAAGCAGGGGTATGTGACAGGGGTTGCATGCATCGCTTGTCAGAGAGAAATAAACACAGGACCGGAGTTCACTATGTTCTTTTTATACAATGCCTGGAATGCTATGAATAGATATGCGGTTTCTAAGTTATGAGTTGATTTTTAACTACTGGGTTTAGGCCAGGCAGGTCCAGGCCTGATTTTGGGCCTGGCACTGTGCTGCCTGTCTTTGGTTTTACTTCCTTGTTTTTTTCTTAGAACAGGTACTGAGTATAAAACAATATAAAATAATATGAGAGGATCTCTCTCTTTCCTCATTCCACCCTTTTGAGACTCTCACTTTTTATTAGTGGGAGTTCTCACTCTTATTTTTCCTACTTATGTCTTTTTATGCAGTAGATTGATAGTGATTCATGTAGTATACTTGTGCTGAAGCATTTTGATGAACCAAGGTAGCAATGAAGCTCTTTTATCATTTGAAGAAGTACAGATAGCAAACAAGGGAGCAGTAAGCAGGTTCTTCTTCTTCTTATAACTTTTATTATAAGAGTTTTAAATCCTCCTAGTGCTGGGAACTAATTTTTAAACATGGGTTCAGGGTCTGAGGGGTTTGTGATTAACACTTCTAAAGGGTTGCAGCTCCCACTCATGCAGGAGGGGCTGACTTTTCCTTTCTGGAGCCAAACAAGTTCTTTTTTATTTTTTTAATATATATTTTTAAGTAGCCCAAATGACACAAGACCAGTATTGACACATTTCACATAAATTTGATTCTTGACAGCTATACTTATTTTTTTGCCGTGTAACTTTTTTCTTAATCTGGAGAAGTGCATCCCATTCCATGCTGCTTATTACTAACAGCAGTACCTGTGTTAGTGGCTCAAGCCTGTAATCCCAGCACTTTGGGAGGCCGAGACGGGCGGATCACGAGGTCAGGAGATCGAGACCATCCTGGCTAACACGGTGAAACCCCGTCTCTACTAAAAAATACAAAAAACTAGCCGGGCGTGGTGGCGGGTGCCTGTAGTCCCAGCTACTTGGGAGGCTGAGGCAGGAGAATGGCGTGAACCCGGGAGGCGGAGCTTGCAGTGAGCTGAGATCCGGCCATTGCACTCCAGCCTGGGCGGCAGAGCAAGACTCCGTCTCAAAAAAAAAAAAAAAAAAAAAAAATTTTAAGGTTACATTTTTGGGGATCCCTCTTTCTTCTGTTCTAGCTATTACTTTACTTGTGTCACTTAGAAAAGGACCAGTCCTTAGTCTTATTTTAAAAACTGTGATCATGGGAGGCTTAAAATGAGTCATAACACGCATCAGGTTGGTTATTTCCTGGGCTACATACCTTGGATAGAATATCATTATACAAACAAGTTTCTTTTAGAGTCCTGGTATACTTATAATAACTATAAAATAATAGGACTGTAGCAATCTTTTGTCCTACCTCAGTGACTTGATGTCTTAGGAAGGAACAGCCCTCAGTCTTAGGAAGGTCAGTTGAAGTCCTTACAGTACAAGTCCAAATTTTAAGGAAAATGAATCCCACGATGAGTTTCCTCATGCTTCAGCCGTGCGTGGATCAGTCAGCTTCCGGGTGTGACTGGAGCAGGGCTTGTCTTTTTCAGAGTCACTTTGCAGGGGTTAGCAAAGCTGCTCCCATCCACGTACAGCTCCCAGTCTACAGATGTTTAAGGATGGTCTCAGAGGGTAGGCCCACTAGAATAAACTGAGTCCAATACTTTTACACAGTTATGTTTAACTGGGCTCTTTGATACCAGGAGCAAGGTGGCGGGTTTACAGTGTTGTAAACTTTAATGGTTATGCGGGGATTTTTTACAGAGCAAGCTTTGGTATCTAGATAGTCTAGCATTTATTAGCTAATGGTGTTCTTTGGTATTTATTAAAATCACCACAGCATGAGGGGACTTTATGTTTAGGTTTTGCCTAAGAGTTAGCTTATCTGCTTCTTGTGCTAATGGGGCCATTGCTGCCAGGGCTCTTGGACATGGGGACCAATCTTTGGAAACCTTGTCTAGCTGTTTTGAGAGATGGGCCACTGGCCTTGGCCAGGGCCCTACAGTCTGGGTTAAAACTCCAACTGCCATTTGGGGTTTTTTTTTTGACATATAGAGTGTAAAGAGTTTTGTCAGGTCAAGTAGCCTCAGGGCTGGGGCCGACATGAGTTTTTCTTTTTAACTCATGAAAAGCTTGTTGCTGCTGGTTGTAATAGATGTAGTTTATCTAATTTATATTTTTATTGACTGTCATTTACTAAAATATTGATTTAAATCCTGTAACTATTTGATTTCGAGCTTTAAATTGATCTGGTATTTCTTGTGGTTAATTTCAAGGTTAAATTGATCTGGTGTTTCTCCAATTGCATCTAAATAGATGTGAGAGTTGAAAGACCTATAAGGGGCTTCTCTCACTTTACGATGTCTTATTATTATTATTATTATTATTTTCTGGTTGATGAAATGCCAGGGTGAAAGGGATAGCCAAATGGACTAAAGCACAAGTGTCACTCTAGTTATTTGGCAGAGTGCCCAGTAAAGGTCCACCACAACAGCACCACACATCTGCTTGGGGATGCACAAGGGCTGACTGATTAATAAGCTCTTAAAAATTCTTAAGCTCACTGCATCCCTTCAGGTCTCCAAGGAATACTGTCTCCTCCTTGCCGTGAGAGACACAAAGTGAACTCAGTGTTGGGAGATGGAAGCTGGATGGCCCTCAGGGACTGACCTGCAGGGACTTTAGGATATAGCAGAGAGAGCTTGGCATGACTTATTACTCCAGACTGTAGAATCCTGGAAAAGAGCTACCATGTAGCCCATGCCTGGTTGACTGGAGGACCACCATAGTGGAAGGGTGACAATCAGGGCCTCTGGCCTGCCATGTGCACAAGCATAACAATTGCTTTTGTTTAACGTGCAGATGGAATATTTGATCCATTTCAACCAGGCATTTACATCTTGGTATGCTGTCTTAATTGCCAAAGTTTGTTTTAAGTCTTTAACTTCTATGATCTTCTAGTAAAATGAACGTTTTCTTTAGCACCTATTTTTATTAGTTTTTAGACCAAAAAAAAGCTAACCACCATTTTATGTTTAACAATGCTTTTTGTATGATTTTTATACCAGATAAGCTAAATTTTACCTTTATATTAGTGTGCTATTAATTTTAATAAAACCCTGTAGACATATTTATCCAATTTTTCATGTTTGACCATAAGGTAAGATTTTATAGACTCTTTTTAACCTTTTATAATTTTTGTTAAGGAGCAGGTTGATGTTTTAAGAAAAACCTGTTGCATTTTAAATGTCCAGTTCACAGAAAAACTGGATGATACCTTTTTAACTCTAGCTATTATGTTTACACACAGAATTTTCTTTACAATTAACGTTTTAAAATTTGCCTAAACTTTCAAAACAATAATTTTTTGACCTTTTAATGTAGGTAAAAATCCACATTCTTATGCCTCTTTATAATCTTTTTACTAAAGGTATATTTTACTTTTTTATACACTTTGCACATAAACTCTTTTTTCCAATAGTACTCAGGAGGCCATATTATTTTTAAATTATATGACATTTTTTGCATAAAAATTTTTTATAACATTTTTTTCTTTTATGACTTTCGCAGACAATTTTTTTTGACATGTCTCAACTTTCTGACTTATTACAAACTTTAAAAAAAAAAAAACAGTTAATTTATTTCAGGACAAGAATTTACCATATAACATTCTTTTTATGTAAATTCTGCCTCCCCCCTTTTTTCCTTTCTTGAAAGTTTTCAACATAGTTCTCAGTGGGGTGGGCTTATTTTGCACCTGACCCATGTTTTCTCAAGACAAAATACCACACTCACACCACACACATTCACCACAAAACATAGAACGGGTAAAGAGGGCACACACACACACACACTTTTATCGTTTATACCAAACCAAAATCAGAATACCACGAAATTCAAAATCCGAGTACCAAGAAATTTAAGCCAAGTCAAAACCAAAACCAAAGTATCCGGCAATTTAAGTCAAGACAAAACCAGAACAAAAGTGCCAATACAGGCACCCCATGGGTGATCAGGCCACGCTTCCACTCAAATGGAGTGGGGCAAGTTCCAAAGACTAGTCTTACCAAGTTTCAGATGTCCAGAATCCAAGTGCCAGTTCCTTCCCAGTGTTCAGCCACTGTGTTAATCCTCTGTGGGGGCCTGCTACGCACTGCTCTGATGAGGCGTTCTACCAGGAAAACTGCCTACCTGGGAGCACTCTTTGGCTCGCGTCACTCAGGCTGGCCAGAGTCCCCCGCAGGGATGCTCCACAGGGCAGGCCTAAGCCGCCTAACAGGCTGCCTCAGCCGTCCATCAGTTACCTCGCTTCCCGGTCAGGGAACCAAGAACTGTAGCGGGACCAGCTGCAGACAAAACCTCTCAGACACCAAGTTGTAGAAGGAAAGGCTTTATTCAGCTGGGAGCATCGGCAAGCTACTGCCTTAAAATCCGAGCTCCGAGTGCACAATTTCTGTCCCTTTTAAGGGCTCACAACACTAAAGATTTCTTTTTTTTTTTTTTTTTTTGAGACGGAGTCTCGCTCTGTCGCCCAGGCTGGAGTGCAGTGGCTGGATCTCAGCTCACTGCAAGCTCCGCCTCCCAGGTTTATGCCATTCTCCTGCCTCAGCCTCCCGAGTAGCTGGGACTGCAGGCACCCGCCACCTCGCCCGGCTAGTTTTTTGTGTTTTTTAGTAGAGACAGGGTTTCACCGTGTTAGCCAGGATGGTCTTGATCTCCTGACCTAGGGATCCGCCCGTCTCAGCCTCCCAAAGTGCTGGGATTACAGGCTTGAGCCACCGCGCCCGGCCAACACTAAAGATTTCACATGAAAGGACCATGATTGATTTGAGCAAGCAAGGGGTACGTGATAGGGTTTGCATGCACTGGTTGTCAGAGAGAAACAAAGCAGGACCGGGAGTTTCACTATGTTCTTTTATACAATGCCTGGAATCTATGAATAATATCGGTTTCTAAGTTATGAGTTGATTTTTAACTACTGGGTTTAGGCCAGGCAGGCCCAAGCCTGGTTGTGGGCCTGGCACTGGGCTGCCTGTCTTTGGTTTTACTGCTTTGTTTTTTTCTTAAAACAGGTACTGAGTATAAAACAATATAAAACAATATGAGAGGGTCTCTCTCTTTCCTCAGTGTTGAGCCACTGCGCCCTGGGGCTACTTTTGAAACTTACACAGTATAAATCAACTATCATTCAGATCTGACATCCCTTCCTTTCCCTATATTTTTCATCTTTAACCCTTTAAGCAATTCTTCGGTGAAGACAAATAATCACTGAATGTTGGCTTAAAAAAAGGGTAGGTGATATGCATGGGTGGAAGACTTTCAACTAATAGTATTAGGAAAATGCTACAACTCTAGCAGGGAATAAGATCTAGAACATTCCGAAAGCAAAAAGATTGCTATAGAATGATTCCCATTATTTTAATGCCATGTAAGATGCTATTACAGAAACTGACAGTGCTCCAGTTCCAGCAATGCCAATGAAGGAAATAAAAATATTTCACCCCAAAATATATTTGTCATATTTTCAGATGGCTGTTCAGAGAGCCAACAGAAGTAGCCTTGCAAAGTTGTCTTTTGTGGGGGAAACTTGTATTTGCAGAGAATCTGCTTGATGCAGCCTGGCTTTCCCTTGTCTGGATCTTGGGAAGATTAACTCAGTCTGACACTTTAAAGGTCTGAAACATGCTGGGACATGGTGGCTCACACTTGTAATACCAGCACTTTGGGAGGCCAGATCACCTGAGATCAGGAGTTTGAGGCCAGCCTGGCCAACATGGTGAAACCCCGTCTCTACTAAAAACGCAAAATTAGCTTGGCATGGTGGTGTGCGCCTGTAATCCCAGCTACTGGGGAGGCTGAGGCAAGAGAATCGCTTGAACCTGGAAGGCGGAGGCTGCAGTGAGCCAAGATCGCGCCATTGCAATCCTGCCTGGGCAATAAGAGCAAGACTCCATCTCAAACAACAAAAAAGGTCTAAAACATTCATCATCTATTCTTGTGAGGGTTGCCACCTGTGGAGCTTCATTTACGTAACAAGACCACCTTTGCTAGCCAGGCTTCCTCTTCTCCTGCTCCCGGAAACTGTTATGCCACTGATCTGAGCCCACTCTTTCTGTAACCTTAAGGTGGTATTTAAGCTTCTAAACCCTATTGTGTAGGGGTTTGGGGGGATAATCACTCTGTGGCTCTCCCCTTCATGCAAGCTAATATATTGGTATGCCTTTTCTCCAATTAATCTGCCTTTTCTCAGTTGATTTTTCAGAGTGAACCTTCAGAGGGCAAAGGGGAAGTTTCCCTTTGGCCCCTACAGGAACCTAAGACCCACAGAGTGATGGAAAAAGGAAAGGCTTTGGAGCCAGGCAGGTCCAAGTTTGAATCCCAGCTGTACTGCTTATTCACTGAACAACCTTGGGTAAGTCACAGTTATCCTACTTAAAAACAGGATAACGTTAACTTCACAAAGTTGTTTCAAGGATTAGCATTAATGTAGAAAATCAACTCATCAGGCCCTGAAAAAATGGTGGCTATCAGTATTAATGATCACATCCCGTTCCAGTTATGGACATAACTTTAAGACTGCTGCTAAATCCCAGGGAATGAGTTCTGCAGGAGCAAGCGGTTTTGGCCTCAAGTCCATATATTTTTGCCTCATGTTTCCCATTGTGTTTTGCCATTTGAACACATTTTCAGCACGTCTAGTGATTCACCTATAAACGTCTTCTTTAGGTGTACCTCAGCCTGCATATACTGCGCATTCTGAAACTCACGAGAACAGTGTCCTTGCTCCTCACATTGATTTTGGTCTTGTCTTCCACCTTTGAAAACGAGAGTTATGGTATAATACAGTATTAAAGTTTTAAAGTACTAACTTTATACACAGCACTGCCCTCTAGTGACTAGAATAATCCATTTTTTTTTTCTTTTTTGAGACTGAGTCTCACTCCATCACCCAGGATAAAGAGCAGTGGCACGATCTGGGATCAGTGCAACCTCCGCCTCCCAGTTCAAGTGATTCTCCTGCCTCAGCCTCCGAGTAGCTGGGATTACAGGCATGCACCACCACGCCCAGGTAATTTTTTTGTATTCTTAGTAGAGATGGGGTTTCATCACGATGGCCAGGATGGTCTCAATCACTTGACCTTGACCTCGTGATCCGCCCGTCTCAGCCTCCCAAAGTGCTGAGATTACAGGCGTGAACCACCACACCTGGCCTAGAATAATTATTTCTAGTCATCTGTTCAGCTGCTCTCTGGGTAAAAATTAAAAATTCTGTCATAGATTGTTTTGAATGTATTGGCTGACATAAGATACATGGAAATCATAACTACAATGAGATACCACCTCATGCCTAATAGTAATTTGAAGAACAATTTGACAATTCTTTATATTAAAGTTACACGATCCAGCAATTCCACTCGTGGAATTTAAAACCTGTGCACATAAAAACCTCTTCTATAATGTTCCTATTAAACAGTCAAAAAGCAAAAATAATCCAAATATCAACTGATGGATGGGTAAATACAATGGATTATTCAGCCATAAAATAAAATGTACTGATACATGCTGTAAAATGGATGAACCCTGAAAACATGCTATATCGAAGAAGCCAGTTCCAAAGGACCATATATTGTATGAACTTATATGAAATGTCCAGAACAGGGAAATCCATAGACACAGAAAGTAGACTGGTGACTCCCTAGGACTGGAGGAGATAAATGGATTGACTGCTAATGGGGGTTTCTTTTGGGGGATGAAAATTGCTAAAAAAAAAATTGATTTGGTGATGGTTGTACAACTGTGTGGATATTCTGAAAACCACTGAAATGTACACTTTAAAAAGGTGAATTTTATGGTATGTGAATTACATCTCAATGTTATTAAAAAATGGAAACAAAAGTGTTGGCTGTGTTGGGAAGGCCATTTAGTACTAACATGTTAGGTACATCTTCCCTTCAATATAACCTCCCTGGCCCCCAGCCCCCAGTCTTAAGAATTGGGCCTCCATAGTCTTCTTAATATTTTTTTATTTCTTACAATTTTTTTTTTTACTATAAGCATGTATTATTCATATGAGAGGTAGATCCAAATTTTCAAGGAATAATCTGAACTTTTAAAAGAGGAACTGTACTTAAGAACACTAACAGAGGTTGGTTGACACCCTGAAAGACTGGTCTGTTATGTTTAACTGTGGGCCAGTCAGCTTCAAACTCAGGAAAACCTCTCACCTCAGTTGCAGGGGAAATGGGCAACAGTAATTAGAAGCTACTGCTGAGAGGCTGGGCCCTGTGCTTAACTCCATCTATCATCTCCACCAACTATCCCATGTGGCATGTGTTACCACTATTTTATAGATCAGAGTTTACATAACTGAGACCAAGGATGCACATACACCCCTCCCCTAAAACGCAAGTCTCACTGAAGGTAGACCCAAGATGCCACCTTGTGACTCAGATACTTAAGAACAGGGCCTAAAAATATTCATTGATAAAAGGTAGGTGTTCAAAGATGACCCAACTTCTATTTTCACCTTCAATAATTGTTACAGTTAAAATTCAGTGAGAAGCTGCTTCTACAAAGATATAGGTAGGGTTCTGTTATCCAAATGCAAATCTATCTAGGTCTGAATTCCTAAAAGTACAATCTTTTTTTTTTTTCTGAGGTGGAGTTTTGCTCTGTCACCCAGGATGAGTACAATGGTATGATTTTGGCTCACTGCAACCGTTCAAGCGATTCTCCTGCTTCAGCCTCCCAAGTAGCTGGGATTACAGGTGCCCGCCACCACACCCAGTTTGTTTTCGTATTTTTAGTACAGATGGGGTTTTACATGTTGGCCAGGCTGGTCTTGAACTCATGACCTCAAGTGATTCGCCTGCCTTGACCTCCCAAAATGCCGGGATTACAGGCGTGAGCCGCCATGCCTGATTTAAAAGTAGAGTCTTCAAATAACCTTCCCAATACTTTTTTCTTTTTTGAGACAGGGTCTCACTGTCACCCAGACTACAGTGCAGTGGTACGATCTCAGTCTCACCATAACCTCCAGCTCTCAGGCCCAAGCAATTCTCCCACCTCAGCCTCTTGAGCAGCTGGGTCTACAGGGCCAAGTCACCAAGCACAGATAGTTGTATTTTTTTTTTTTTTTTTGGTAGTGATGGGGTTTTACCATGTTGGTCAGGCTGGTCTTGGACTCCTGACCTCAAGTGGTCCACCTGCCGCAGCCTCCCAAAGTGCCAGGATTATAGGCATGAGCCACCGGGCCCAGCCCACTTCTTGAATTAAAAAGCAAAAAACAAAAAAGCCAGGCAGATAATGAAAATCCTGCATACGCTCAAGTCTGCATGCATAAGGCCAAACCGGAAAGTGGGCGTTTGAACAACCCTATACCTGCTC